TCTTTTCATTTTTACACTTAGGTCTGTGATCCATCTTGAGTTAATTTATATATATGGTGTGAAGAAAGGATTGAGGTTCCTTTTTATATATATACCTATATTTTTATTTATTTTATTTTTTTTAAAGATTTTATTTATTTATTCATGAGAGACAGAGAGAGAGAGAGGCAGAGGGAGAAGCAGGCTCCCAAGGAGCAGGGAGCCCGATGCGGGACTCGATCCCAGGACCCTGGGATCATGACCCGAGCCGAAGGCAGACGCCCAACCATCTGAGCCACCCAGGCGCCCATATATACCTATATTTTTAAAGATTTATTTATTTATTTATTTATTTATTTATTTATTTATTTATTTGGGGGGAAGGGCAGGGAAAGGGAGAATCTCAAGTAGACTCTGTGCTGAGTGGGGAGCCCATCTCGGGGCTTGATCTCGTGACCCATGAGATCATGAGCAGAGCCAAAACCAAGAGTCAGACTCCCAACCAACTAAGCGACCCAGGAGCTCTGAGGTTCCTTTTTAAATATTATCTTATTTTTAAATTATTATTATTTTTGCATATGGCTATCCAATTGTTTGAGCACCACTTGTTAAAAAGATTATCTTTCTTCCATTGAACTTCCTTGCACCTTTGTGGAAAATCAACTGACTCATATATGTGTGGGCCTATTTCTGGACTCTTTAATCTGTTCTATTGATTGACATAGCTGCCTTTTCAGCAATATCCCACCCTATTTTAATTACTGTAGCCTCATAATAGGTCTTGATCATGTAATGTAAGTTCTTGACATGTGTTTGGGGTTTTTTTTTAGAATTGTTTTGGATGTTCTAGTTCCTTTACCTTTCTATACAAATGTTAGAATCATCGTGACAGTTTTTACAAAAATCTTGCTGGATATTTGATCAGAACTGCGTTGAAACTATAAATTCAGTCCACAGAAGAACTAGCATCTTAACAACACTGAGATTCAGATCCATGGACATGGTGTATCGCTCCGTTAGTTAAGTCTTTACTTTTTCTCGACACTGTTCTATAGTTTTCAGTGTACCTGTCCTTCACATCTTTTGTCAAGGTTATCCTTAAGTACTTCCTATTTTTTTTTGAAAGATTTTATTTTCAAGTAAACTCTACACCCAAGGTGGGGCTCAAACTCACAACCCAGAGATCAAGAGTCGCTCCCTCCACTGACTGAACCAGCCAGGCACACCTATTTTTGCTGTTATTTTATCCAGTATTGTTTTTAAATTTCAATTCCTTTTTCTTAGGGGGGGAGGGGCAGAGGGAGAGGAAGAAAGAAAATCTTAAGCAGGCTCCACACCCAGGCCAGAGCCCAAGTGGGGCTTGATCTCACAACCCTGAGATCATGACCTAAGCTGAAATCAAGAGTCAGACTCAACGGACTGAGCCACCCAGGCGCCGGGCCCCTGATTCATAGGGGCAGAAAGCAGATCAGTACTTGCTTAGACACAGGGTTTCAGGAGGAGGTAAGGATGAATTACAAAGGGACCTGAGGAAAACTTTGGGGGTGATAACTATGTTCACTATCTCGATAGTAGTGATAGTTTCATGTGTCAAAACTCATCAAATTGTATACGTTAAATATATTCGGTTTAATGTATAGTAATTATATCTTATTAAAACACGTGTACTTGGGCTCCAGGAACCTGTAAAAATAATGTGACCAGCTAATATATCCTCATGCCAGATACTGAATCAGATGCAACCTAGGTGTGGGGAGGGACCAATTTCACCCATTATGGAGAGACAGGTAATAAGACGCTTAACCCCCTATGGGTTTCCCAGAGATTAGGCTTCCATGCCCAGAAACCAGGCATCTCCAAAAGGCGTAATATAGTGGTCGCCCCTTATCATAGATTCCAAGATCCCCAGTGGGTGCCAGAAACCGCCAGTAGCTCTGAACCCTATAAATACTATGTTTCCCTCTACATACATACCTATAACAAAGTTTAGTTGATAAATGAGGCACAGTAAGAGATTAACAAAAGTAAAACTACCACTAGAATTTTTTTTTCCTTCTTCAGTTTCATGGATACAAGACACGTTCTTACCACGGACCTTAGCAATTTCAGCATACATTTTTTTTTTCTTTCCTTATTAAGTAGAGAGCTTTCATCTTTACAGCTACTCTTTGGCATATCTGAATTGCCAGCATCACCGTTCTTGTGCTCTGGGGCTATTATTAAGTAAAATAAGGGTTATTTGAACACAGGTACTGAGATACAGTGACTAACAGGCCGGTGGGGTATACGGTGTGGGTCCGCTGGACAAAGTGATGATTCACATCCTGGGCAAGACTGAGCAGCGGGACATGCGAGATTCCATCACACTACTCAGAACGGTGTGCAGTTTAAATCGTATGGGTTGTTTATTTCTGGAATTTTCCATGTAACATTTCAGATTGTGGGAACTGAAACCACAAAAAGTGAAACTGCGGATAAGGGGGAGACATGTGGTTCCTATATTGCTGGGAGAGACAGTAAGAGCTGAAGGAAGTTAGCAGAATCCTATAGTTTATATCCTGGGGGAGGGCTTCCCTCAACCCTTGGCAAACGGTTTTCTGGCTGCAGCAAGTGGGAAATCCTTATTTTTAACTCACTCTAAGTTTTACCGAGGAAGGTTAACTCGCCTGAGTGTTTCTCCACAGGGTGCCTCCAAACCACAAATTCCTGATTCCTACTCTGGTTTATCCCAGTAAGAAGTAGGCTGATCCCTTAATCCCTGTTTAAAGGGACCTTATTTATTGAAGCCGTAAACTCTGGGCAAAGGGTCATAAATCACTCTAGCAGGATCCAGAGTGTGAGGCGGGTGCAGGCTAAGAATGGACACACAGAGGTAATGTCAATGTTGATCTCGTCTGTTTTCCTTGTAGGCATATTCCTGTGAGCCCCTGTGCTGGGCCAGATCCAGCTCTACTCTTCACTCTGCTTGGTGCCTGGAAGGAGGGATGGAGACAGTATGATGCATCATCCTGGCCCCCTACCCCTACTCTTCCCACTAGGCTTGGCCAATGGAAGGCACAAGTAGGAAATCAGAGGACAGCAGAGCTAGAGACTGGTGTCTCCCAGTGACTGGTTTCCTACCTAGAACCACAGGTCTGGTCAGATGCCTCCTTTCCCAAGACTAGAGCACCCAACTGTTTGGGTCACAACTCCCTCCTTGTCGCTTCAGGTCTAGGGCTGATAACAGCTTCCCACTGGGTTCTTCACCCTCCCTGGCTGATCCTCCGCTTCTAGATCACACCGTGGTATGCCTATTCCTTCTTCAATTCAATTAGCCCTTCCAGTTAGCAATCCCCTCCCTGTTGCCGCTCTGACACACACACACCTTCATAGCCCCCAAACATGGCCCTCTTCTACTGTCTCTATCTCCCCAAAGCCCCCAGTTTGCTGATACACCCACGTTGGCCTTGGCTCTCCTTCTGTTTCTCTGATTCTTCCACCCCGGGCTCCTGTTTCCATCGCTTGTCCTTTGGCCAAGTCAATGCTGACATTGCTCTGTCCAAAATGGAAGTCATCTCCTCTTCTGGAAGACATCTCCTCTACTGTGCTTCCCTACTCATTTACCGTCATCACCACCTTCCCAGACACAAACCGTGAAAACTAGGTGACAGCTCACCTCTTCCCCAGAGAAACCCAAGGGGAGTCACTCACAAAGCCTCCCATATAAACACATTTTAAGAAAAGGTGAAACCAGTGAGCTAGCTATGCAAATGTAGCCTCAAGGCAATCACCCCTCCATCACATTGCTCCCCTTAAATCCTTCCTCTATAGAGTTTCTGACCCCACCAGTGCCTCCTCCCTCCCCCCATTCCCTACATCCAAGCATATTTCCATAACCTCCCAGAGGACAAGAATGTTCTCTTCATTCCTTTGTAGGCCCTCACGTGTCTCTCACCTACGATTGGTTTCCTCCCTTCCTCTGCGCCCCCATAATCTGGTCCACATAATGCCAGCCCCCAAAAGCGCAGGTCTGAGCAAAAGCCTTCAGTGGTTCGCTAGTGCCTGCAAAGGCCCACCCCCTCATTCGCTTCTCCATTGAATGTGTGAATTTTTATCAAAAGCTCTTAGTTTAAAAAAAAAAATTAATGCCTTCCTTGACTTCGAGTTTCAAAGCATTTATCTTCAAAACCCCAACTCTGGCATTTAACGGGGAACTTCTAACTTTCTCCAGCGTCTCCTCTAAGGATCGCACTTCCCTCTGCCTGTCGGTACCTCGGCTGACATCGGAGCGGGATGGGAGGGGTGGCCCAGAGCCGCGGATAAACAGAAACAGAAACGGGTTTCTACCAACGAATACGTCCTGGCGGGTTCCAGACCCGGAGTTTTGGAGAGAAGGTGTCGGAAGGCTCCCACTGACCCAGCCCGGCGCCCCCGGGTCGGCGATCATCGCAAATGAGATGGGCAGGGCTGCAGGGCAGGGCCAGGACGCGAGAGAAAGCAGAGGGAGCTGGGTGCGGGACGCTGACCCCAGCGTGGGGGCAGCGCTTCCCGGGGCTGCGGCCGCCGAGCCGGTCCATCCCGCGCTCCCCCGTCCCGGCCCGAGCCGCGTACACAGGCAATTCCCAGGCGGCCCGGATTCCCCGCGGGAGGCCAGGCGCTCCCGTCCGCGTGACCCCCGCCCACCAGCCGGGACCCTGCAGCGCCGGCCGCAGAGAAGCGCGCGGCTCGCGGGGAAAGGGCGGGGAGCCGGGCGTCGGGGGAGGGGCGGGCGAGGGCAGCTCAGGGCAGCCCCGGCCCCGCCCTTCGTCCCGCCCCCGCCGGAGGCGGTTGGGCCCGGTGACTGACAGGCGTCCAGGCCGGTCACGGCGCGCCTCGCGGTCCGGATCGCCCAGGGGGGCGGGGCTCGCTGAGGGGCTCCGGAGGGGGCGGGGGCGGGCGGGGAAGCCTCTGGGTGGGGCGGGGCCTCGGGAGAGTAGCAGCGCATCCAGCCAATGGGAGGCGGAAGCCGTCCCGTTAGCGCCGGATCCCAGCGGGTAGGGCGGGGCGGGGCGGGCGGCGCCGAGGGGATCCCGGGGCGGCCGAGGGCCCCTGACTCGGCTCCGCGCGGCGACATGGACCGGATGGCCAGCTCCATGAAGCAGGTGCCCAACCCCCTGCCCAAGGTGCTGAGCCGGCGCGGGGTGGGCGCGGGGATCGAGGCGGCCGAGCGGGAGAGCTTCGAGCGGACTCAGGTGAGGACCGGGGGACCCCGGGGCATGCTTGGCTGGGGCATCCCGAGAGACGCAGTGTCCGGGAGGGGCTTTGAAGGTAGTAGAGGTCTTCAGGCCCAGGGGAGGACGGGGCAAGGGGCCGCGAGAGGGAGCATCTGGTGCGCAGGGCGAGGCGAGCCTGGGGAGGTCGGGGACCCGGGGGCATCCCAGCTGGCCTGGGGAGAAGGGCAGGGCGGCTCCTAGGAGCTGGCACGATCCGTGCGGCGGAGCAGGGCAGGGGTCACGGGCTGTGAGAGCGGAAGGAACGGAAGAGGGGCCGAATGGAAGGGGTGCCCCTAGGCAGGGGAAGCGCACTGGGGGGCCACTCGGAGACTCAAGTGTGGCGGCGGAGAGCGGAGCGCTGGACTGGGATGTGAAGCGGGAACCCCTTTTCTCCCCTCTCGATCGCTTCTGGGTTGCACTGACATTCCCCCCACCCCTAGCACCCCCTTCCTGGTGCCTCTTGCTTGGCTCACACCACCCCCAGCTGTTGGCCTCCGAGGACCGGGCTGAAGGGGTCTGGGCGGCGAGAAGGAATGTAGGAAATGCGACATGTGGCCGAGCTTGGGAAATGGGGGCTGGAGGAGGGGGCCGGCCAGGGGCCAGGGTCAGGCCTTTGGCCCGACAGCCCGCTGCTGGTCAGGATGAGCTGCCCAGTGGTGCCCAGAGCCCTGATTTGGGGTTTTGGTTTCATCCCCCAAGATGTGCCTGACAGCTAATAGGCAGACTGCCCTATTTGTCCAGCCTGACCAGGGCTGGGGGCCAAAATTCCCCAGTGGCATCAACAAAAAGCCACAATCCATTTTTACCTCAGAGTTTGAATGCCTGGTGTATTGATTTAACTGAATAAAGCTGACATGTTTTCTGGTGTTCATCAGCTCGTTTGTATGCAAAATCCATTTCAAAGGGCACAGCACTTCTCTTAATCCCAGTGCCAAAGTTGTATGGGCAGATTTGTTCTTCGCTCTTGCGCTCAGGGTGGAACCTTTGAAGATCCAGCTGGGCCTCCACTGCCGGAGGCTGGTTCCCCTGCTGTGTTCTGCTTTCCCCCGCTCCCCCTCACCAAACGCAGTACAATGTGAAGGAAGCGTTCTGGGATTTTAGGTAGAAAAGATTGTAAGGACCTGACAGAGTATTCTGTGTATGGAATATTGCAAAGAGTAAAGCTTTTCACCCCGGCAAGTTCATCCTCTTCTCTTTCCAGATGCCTCTGGCCCGTTGCAGGTGTGTCTCGGTGATGGAAAGTAGGGAGGGGTCCCCTCCCCGGGTCATCCTACCCCAGGGAGGGATGGGAGCGATAGGAAAGACAGCAATTCATTTGGCTTCCCAGGGACGAGCTGAGTTTGAGACTTTTTTCCTCTGGCTTTGTGGACTGGACCCCTGCAAAGAAAGCAGCTTTCCGTCTGCTTGTCCACCGAGGGTGTTAACTGAGGCTTCTTGCTCCAGGAGGCAATGTGAATAGCCTTCTTCTTCCTCTTTTTTTTTTTTTTTAATGGAAAAGAAAAAGGAATAGACGTTATTTTGCGATAACCCAGCCTTTCTGGAGTCTCAAATAAGGAAAAACTGGAGCACTAGAGGAACATGCATAAAACTTTGACCCATTATAGCAATGATGATTAGGTTTGTGAAAGCTTCCACCCAGGGCTGGCGTGTTCCCTCGCTATCCAGGGACAGCCCAACAAGGAGACCCTAAGGCACTGTTTGCCAGTGTATTTTACATGTGGAACACTTGCGATTGGCTTGTTGGAGGGTGGGGTGGAGTGAGGAGGAGGCAGGCTGGAGAAGGAAAAGAGGGTTTTTCTGTTATTCAAATCGTGAGGGGTGGCAGGTAGGAGCGTGAAGAAAAGAGAACAATCCTAAAACTTGGCATTGGTTAATCTGCAAAAGCTCATTTTGTTTGAGGACTTCAAATGTATCCAGTGTGTTATGAGATACAAAAATGAGTTAGAAAAAAATTTTAATGAGTTGAGAGACCATGAGAATCAGCCAAGGTGTAGTGATAATTGTAGCTAATTATCACTGTTTGGCACTGTTCTAAGTACTTTATTGTATTACCTTCTTTAATCTCTGCAAGGACCCAGGAGGTGGGTATCAGCCCCATTTTCCACGAGGACAGTGAAGCACAGAGAGGTTAAGTCACCTGCCCAAGGTCACACAGCGGGAAGTGGTCCCAGCCTTTAACCACTGCCTCGCGTTGCCTCTGAGTACCGCTCAGAGCACTGGCATTGGAGCTAGAAAAGGTTTGAGTTTTATAGCCAGGCACTAGGATAGGCTGTGTGACCTTGGGCAAACCTTTCTAAGGCTTGCTTATTGTAAAAGAAAGATGATACTTACCTTGAAGGTTTAGTATGGGGATTAAATGAAATCATAGGTGTGAAGGTATTTTTGTAAACTTCGGAGCACGATTTCAGTGATTCTTGCTATAATCCAGGGAGACCTAAGGAAGCACAAATGTGAGTAATGGTGCAGGCTGTGATGAACTCTTCAGTAGGGGGACAGAAATATTCCTAGGTAATGTGATAATGACTGAGACCACATGCAGAAAGTCCTAGCCATGGTGTTAGGGAGAGGTTGGGAGCCATCACCAGGACCTAACCACCAATTGGCATGAGATGTCACTTGCAGGGTGGAGAGGAGGGGAGGGAGCATTCCAGAAATGGGGACCAGTAAAGGAGACATCCGGAGGTGAATGCAGATGAGGCTCAGTGGCCCAGGTGGAGGCAGGAGCAGAAATTGGCCGCTCCCACCTCTCAGCCCCCAGCACCTGCTACCTTTTACGGTCACTGGTTCTCTGTCTTGCCCTCAATAAACCAGGAGCTTCATGGGGACAAGATTGCTCTTGCTCTCTCACCTGTGTCCTCAGATTCCTGAGGCTTGTGTTAGTGGTGATCCAGCTATAGATGGGGGTAGACAATGACTGATTATTTCCAGTAGGAAGCCCTTGCCTGGGTGGGTAACTCAGCTCAGGGCAGCTGGGGATTTCTGTAATTACTTGATGCTTTTTCCGAATGGCCCCAAGTTCCCTCCTGGTTCAACTTTGTCTCCTGCACCCTCAGTCAGGAGCCCTGCCCCATGCCCATCAGAGGACTGTGATTTCTCTGCCTTCCTTCCGGTGAGGCCAGTGTCCCTGCCAGAGGGGGGACCCCAGACCCACCTGCTGCAGCCCCCATCTCCAACCTGACCCTTGTTGTGTCCCTCACCCAGCCCATCACAAGCAACCTTCAGGCTCCAGGGGAATGAAAAGTGGTTCTTGCCCTTAAAAAGCCTGCTGTGAGAAAGTTACCTTGCCTGGAGCACTTTATCGTTTATACAGCACGTTTTAACTATCGTTGGGGCTACACTGTGGTTGGGTATTACTACGTCCATTTTATGGATGAGAGCTTAGTAACTTGCCTGGGGCCCCCATAGATGATCGAAAAGCAGGATTCAGATCCAGGACTCCAGGTTCCAGGCCCCTTCCCCCACCCTGTCCTCATGTTGGTCGGGAGGGTAATTCTGGAATGAACCAGGAGGGCTGACCCTTGTAGACACACCAAATACCCTGTCTATATTTACTTAGCCGGAAAATGGTTTTCTCTATGGTTTGTTTATTTTTTTGTTACCATCCATTTAGTGAGCACATAGCGTGGAGGGGACACAGAGATGAGTAAGATAAGGAGACCAGCCTGGAGGAGCTCATGAGTCAGCAGGGAGGTAGACTGGCCACCGAGAGGATCTTCTACACAGAGGACAGAGGACTTACACACCGACATCTCCGGAGCTGTTAGCAGTGCAGGACCTACCGAATGAGAGCTTTCATTTCAGCCGGAGCCCTGGATAGTCCTGGGCACGTTGAAATTTGCTCTCTGGCTGGTGATTGCTAAGATCAGAGGAGAGGATGGGGCTCTGGAAACACAGCCTTTAGTCCCAATTTCTTTGGGTGGAGCTCACCACAGAGAACAGGATCCTAACCAACCCTGAGTTGGGAAGAGCCAGGAAAGTTGGATTCTAGAGAAGAAGAGACAGAAAGAAATATTTACAGAGGGCCTGGTGGGCACTAGAAACATGCTGGGTGATTTATGGCCATTATCCTATTTAATAGCTCAGGTTCAGAGAGACCAAGTGACCTGCCCAAGGTCACACAGCGAGTAAACAGAGAAGCCAGGGCTCTGACAATCTGATGACCAAGCCCACATCCTCTTCTCTGTGTGTAAGTCAGGGGGTGTCTCTGCCATTTTTCTCATCATCTTCAGCTCAGCCTTTGATTCACCTGCTGAAAAAATTGTGAGGTTGGACCAGAAGGATCAGTGCTTCTCAACCTTGGCTGCTCAGGAATGGCTTCTAACACGAAAGGCGCTGTCCTCCCACCTGATCCCTGCTGGTTCACTTAGTTGGTATTGAAAAGGTAGAAAGGATGCTAAGAGCTTTCTTTGAACTTGTGGGTTTGTATGCTTCTGGCTTCCTCCCATTGATAATGCTGAGAACAGCTGACATTCACCACATTTACTATGTGCACGTGGTAAAGGCCTTAAATGAGCCACACCTCTCAGTTCTTGGCACGAATTTAACAATTACGATCCCTGTCTTACAGATGAGGAAATCAAGGCTTAGACGTGTTACTAGCCGGCTCAGGTTCTGAAGGAAGTGTCCGAGCCGGGACCCAAACTCAGCAACTCCGGCCCCAGGGCCTAGCTGTGCATGATTACCATCCCTGACTCTGCCTGGCCCCCTGCCTGGCCCCCTCAGCTCTCTGCCTCCTTCTTCTCGCTAACAGTTGGGTCCCCAAGGTGCTAACCTCACCCCACTTCTCTTTTACCTTCTGTCCAGTTCCTCTGTGCTCCCCTCATCTGACAGTTTCTGTTCTTGTGTCGGTGACGTCACCTCCCCACGTCTTTCTCCCGACTTCCTGGCCTGTGTGACCACTTCCCATGGGTCATTTGCCCCCAAATAAACCACACATGCCCCAGACTCTACTTCAGGCCTTCCCTGCCTCTGAATGCCAGCGTCTGGTCCCCGTCAGTCCCCATTATCTCCTTGGCGTCCATTCTCTTTTTTTTAATAAAGATTTTATTTATTTATTTGACACAGAGAGAGACAGCGAGAGAGGGAACACAAGCAGGGGGAGTGGGAGAGGGAGAGGCATCCATTCTCAATCCTCCCTTTCCTCTGTCCTCACAGCTGCATGGTGCTCTGTGATGTTTCTCTTGTCCATTGCTCCTTTGCTCTGCGCCCTTCCTGCCCTTACTACCTCTTGCCTGTGTTGGTTGTAATCCCATCCTCCCTGCCTCCCAAATACCCGGGGCCAGACTGCTTGTCTCTAAAGCCCAACACTGCTTCTGGAACTCCCTCTTTTCAAGAACCTTTGGCTGGCTCCTGAGAGACCCTGCATGACATGGCACCTAAGGGTCTTTTCCAGGCCTTAACTTTCACTGCCTCCCCCCACTAGACAGCCCCTGCAGGCTGCTTCCAGCCTGATCAGGAACTCCAGCAAGCAGGGGCCCGTAGCCACTATATGTCTGTCCCATTCATCCAGGTCTGCGCCGTGGCTTCTCTCCCAGACTGGAAGCTCTTAGGGGCAGGGTCTGGCTCTCCGTGCTGAGTGAGCTCTTGCAGGAGGCAGGCACTGGGCCTGTTTGCCAAATGTGTGAATGTGAAACAGTTGGCGGATCTCCGGGGAGCTTGGGTGCTGCAGGCAGGCCTCTGCTTGCAGCGGACTTTACTTTCCCTTTGCACATTTTGGAGATCCTCCCTCTGTCTCCTGTGATTTCTCCGATGATTAATTCTTACTGAGTGCCTGCCCTAGGTGCCGGGCCTGTGCGCCCAGGGTCCCCATTTAGGAGGGAGCCTGTAGAGTCTTTAGAGATAGAACTGGGGGGACGCCTGGGTGGCTCAGTCGGTTAAGCGTCTGCCTTCGGCTCAGGTCATGATCCCAGGGTCCTGGGATTGAGTCCCGCATCGGGCTCCCTGCTCCGCGGGGAGCCTGCTTCTCGCTCTGCCTCTGTCTCTCTCTCTGTCTCTCATGAATAAATAAATAAAATCTTTAAAAAAAAAAAAAAGAAAAGAGATAGAATTGGGGCTCATGGTCAATGATTTGAATTTCCGTGAAGTTCAGAACACTTTATAAACATTCCCAACACGTGCTCGTGGACTTCTCAGAGCTTCTCTCTGCTTCAGGTGGGCCTTTCTGCCCTAGAAGGTATTACCAGGAAGGGAGAGAAAGTGGCCTGGCATCCCAGGCACCTGGATGTGGCCGTGGGCTGCTGCTGGCGTTTGCAGCAGGGCCCAAGGGATGGCGGGGATGAGCGCAGAGTAAGATGAAAGCGCTCCCTGGGGACTGAGCAAATCTGGCTCCGCTACAGGATTTCTCAAAATGGGGAGGCTGGACAAGATTTCCAGCTCTCAAACACTCGAGCTCATAAAATTCCTGTAAGTGGGGTTTTCACACTGTGGAATTTCATCTGAGCTCTCACCTGCTCTCTTGAGAAACTTCCACGTGCCCCCCGTATGTAGAACAGGGCGCATGGGAATGGCTGGTGTCATACCTTCAGGTGTGGTGAGGAGCGTCCATGTGGCCCAGGAGAGCAGAGCCCCAGCCCCACTTGGCCATTGAAAGGGTTCCTTGCCTGGCATGTCTGCAAGGCACCAAGGAGGACCATTTTACACTCCCTGTCCACTGCCCACTTAGTTTGGAGCAGACCTGGGCGGGGTGCGGCGGGCCAGCCGCCAATTTTCCTGCATCCAGAGGGTTGATGGTCTGGAGAGATGCCCACCTAGGAAAGGGAGCTTGTCAGCCCCACCTCCTGGCAGGGTGGGGGCTGCTTCCTGTTTTCCTGCCTGGGCAGGCAGGGAGGAGCCCTGTTCCTGGCTTGTGGGCAGGACAGTCTGACACTGTGCAGGGAGAGGGACAGGGATTGAAGGTGTCCTCTGGCTCAGACATTAGAAGGGAGGATGGGGCTTTTCTCAAATCTGAAAGGTTGCGACCGCTGCCTCTGTTCGCACTGTAAGACCGCTCAGGGAGCTGGGCTGGGCCATTCAGGAGGCCAGTGTGGCCAATTACTTCTGATTTTAACAGATTTGCAGTTTATAAAGCACATTTGCACATAACTCTTTCCAGCCATAGAACAACCATGCGTTAATAGCAGTCTGGTCTCAAGGATGGACACTGAGGCTCAGAGAGTGTAGGCAACTTGCCCACGAGCACTCAGGAAGTGGCCAGGCAAAGGCTTGAACCTGGTGGCTCTTATCTCTAATTGTATACTTTCCTTTTCATATTTCTCTTTAAAGCTGAAGCCTGGTCTGGGCTGGTAACTTAGAAAAATTACAGAGGTTTTCTTTTTAAGTCCTTTCCAATTGATTTATTTGGACTTTTGAAATTCCTCCCAGAAGTTTTTTGCAACACTCATAACTATCATAGGGCCTATATCCAGAATATGTAAAAAAACCATAAAACATATGAAAATGTGCAACTTCATTAGTAATCGAAAAAATGCAAATTAAAATTGAGATGCATGAGATATCACCCAATGCCCATCAGCTTGGCTGAAATAAAAATGAAAAAAAGGGGCACCTGGTGGTTCAGTCGGTTAAGCATCCGGCTCTTGGCTTCAGCTCAGGTCATGATCTCAGGATCCTGAGATCAAGCCCCGAGTTGGGCTTCGTGCTCAATGCGGAGTCTGCTTGTCCCTTTCCCTCTGCTCCTACCCCCACTTGCGTGCTCTCTCTCTCTGTCTCTAAAATAAATAAATAGAATCTTAAAGGGAAAAAAAAAACTAACTGTGCTAAGCATCAGCAAGGATGTGAAGCAATGGAAATGGCGATGCATTGCTGATGGAGCTTTACGTTGGTACAACCGCATCGGACAACAGTCCTGTCTTATCCTAAAATTAAAGATGTACCAGCACTTCCACTGTTAGCTCTACACCCAACAGCAAGGCACAAAAGATAGTTGGAAGGAGACTCATCATCATCTTTCGTAGTAACTCCAAACTGGAGACAATCCAGAAGCCCATCAGCAATAGATGGGTAACTGCCGTGTGACGTGGTCTCTCATCGGGATACTGCACAACAAGGAGAATCAATAAACTGTAGTCACGTTTGACAGCACTGGATGAACCTTCCACACATAATGGTGGGCGAAAAAAAGGCAGACCCAAAAGGACACCTTCTGTATGCTTCCATTTATTTATTTATTTATGTGAGATTTTTATTTATTTATTGGACGGGGCGGGTAGGGGCAGAGGGAGAGGGAGAAGCCGGCTCCTCACTGAGCAGGGAGCCCGACGCGGGTCTCGATCCCAGGACCCTGAGATCATGACCTGAGCCGAAGGCAGACGCTTCACCAACGGAGCCACCCAGGTGCCCCCTAGGCTCCCATTTATATCAGGTTCACAAAACAGGCAAAGTGAAACGGCTATTAAGTGTGCTGCTTGGATGGTAAATCTGTAAAGAAATAAGGGGAGAGGGGCGCCTTGGTGACTTGGTCAGTTGAGCGTCCAACTCTTGATTTTGGCTCATGTCATGATCTCGGGGTCATGAGATTGAGCTCCACGTTGGGCTCCATGCTGGGCGTGGATCCTCTCTTGATCCTCTCTCCCTCTCCCGCTGCCCACCACACCCACCCCCACCATGCTGTCTTGCTGAAAAAAAAAAAAAAAAGAAAGAAGGGGATGATTACCATAAAAGGCCATATATAAATACTGTCTTTGGATGCAGGGAGGTTAATTGGGAGGGTGTACAAGGAGAGCTTCTGAGGTCCCGCCATCAGTCTGTTTCTTGACCCAGGAAGTGGTTTATGATAATTTATTAAGCTGTACATTTTTGGTTTGTGCGGTTTTCTCTATATTATATTTCAAAATACAGAAGGTTAAAAAAAAAAAAGAAAAACACCTTCTCCCAGGGAGTAAGAGACAGTGTCTTGAGGAGGCTAAGAACTTGCCACTTACATATCCACCCAGCTTCTGAGGTTTCTCCCAAATACAGCCACCCCAGTGAAAACCCTTCTGATACTGGAAACTGGGAAGCTTATCCAAGCAGCCTATCCCAAGCTCTGCCGTAACACGTAATTGTGAAGTTGGGACTTCTCATCAGCCCACACTGAGCATGTTGCCCTCAGCTTCCATTGGTTTGTGTCCAGTGTCTGCCTTCCTGTGCGGTAGACGGGCCCTCAGGGGCTTACTCATCTTTTAGCGAGTTGTCCCCAGCATCTAGCAGAGGGAATTACACCGACTCAGTCTCAGGAGGTCTGGAAACACAAAATAAATGAGGTGATGAAAAGTCCTCAAAGGAGAGAATGAGAGAGGAGAGTGTGTTCTAGGCTCAAAAGAAGCACATTTGAATAAAATCAAGGATTGGCCCAGTGGCCTTCTGGAACACATGACCCCGAGCTTGGCTTGTGTTCCAAAGATCTAGATCAAGTCTCGCTTGATAAGCTACTGTGGGAACATAGGAGCTTGGGGAATGTCACCTGGGAACATGTCAGAAACAGTGGTTCCTGTGAGGTCCCTGGGGCCAGCGCACAATGACAGTTCTTAGCTTAGACAGTTGCTGTGTGTGTGTGTGTGTGAGAGAGAGAGAGAGAGAGAGAGAGATTATGTTTACCGCCTGTCATGTGACCCCTCTCCCATACTGGGCTGGAAGCAAATGCCTTCTCTGGTTTTTCTTGGCTATGTCTTAACCAATGCTATATTCTTCCCTCCCATTTTCCATAATCCTTCAGCAAGAGATTGACAGGCATGAGCTGTGTGTGGTTTCTTCTCTGAGCAAAATCCAGGGAAGCTTCCCTTCCACTAACAGGTGAGCCCAGGGCTCTAACCCTCCAGGCTTGGCACACAGTAGGCCTTCCAAAACTATATGTCGAGTACCTTATTTCATCTTTATAGCCTCGGGCTCCTGATGTGGTGTCTGGCACCAAGTGACTCTCCTCAACAAGGGTTTGCAGAATGAAGGATAAAATATGTGGAATAAAGGACTGATGAGTGTCAGCCATATTTGGTCCCAGTGTTGAACTGTGAACCCTCATAAGGACACCCCGAGTCTGGGTTCATGTGAGCGTGACTGGAGCCAGCAGGAGACGGGGCCCCCGAAGAGACCAGGTCTCTGACGTAACTGTGGGTGGTTCCCGGGGACTTCCTATGGAACGTCAGCTCCCTGACTCATGCTTGGAAGTGACTTGAGATCTCCTGCTTCCCTTGAGATGCTTATTCCAGGAAGGGACCTGCCTGTACGGTCTAAGGCCATTCCTGCTGATAACAAAACAAAAAAAAACCCCAAAAGCCCCCCAAAAACCTAACACACCTAATCCTGAACTCTGTCTCCTGCCACCAACTCGCTCATTGTCCTTTGTTCTCAGTTTTTGACATTCCCAGTTTAGAAACCCTCCCCGGCCCTGGAAGTTGAAATTCTCCCAGTCTTTGGCATAACCTCTATCCTGCACCCCTGTGGGTAGGCATGGAGTCCAGTTGTTCTGTCTCCTGGATTCCTTGATTGCTTGATTGCTCTCCATATCGCTCCTACTTCTCCACCCGCGGCTTCTGCCTTCCTTCAGGCCTTCATCTTGAGCCTGGACTACTTACCGCATGGCCCAGCTGGCCTTCCTGCTATCCGGTCTCCCCTTGGCTGTCAGAGTTTTGTTTTATTTTTATTTTATTTAAAGATTTTATTTATTCATTTGAGAGAGAGAGCACAAGGGGACAAGTAGAGGGCTAGAGGGAGAGGGAGAAGCAGACTCCCACGTGGAGCAGGGAGCCTGACATGGGACTCCATCCCAGGACCCGGAGATCATGACCCGAGCTGAAGGTAGGCGCTTAACTGACTGAGCCACCCAGGAGCCCCAAGAGATCTGTTTTATTTTATTTTTTTTAAGATTTTATTTATTTATTTGACAGAGAGAGAGAGCAAGAGAGGGGACACAAGCAGGGGGAGTGGGAGAGGGAGAAGCAGGCTTCCCACTGAGCAGGGAGCCCGATGAGGGGCTCGATCCCAGGACCCTGGGATCATGACCTGAGCCAAAGGCAGATGCCTAACGTCTGATCTAAGAGATCTGTTTTAAAAGGTGCAACTGCTGTATCACTCCATGTGTTAAAAGCCTGTTTGTTATGCATTCCTCCAAACTGAAACTCAAGCTCAAGGGCACAGAGCCGACCTTTGCAGAGAGCTGACCTTTGCAGGCCGTCATGTCCCGTGGCCTCCCCTGCAGCCCCCACCCGCCCCGCCTCTCTCTGTCTCAGGCGGCCCACTGCTTCAGGCCTCTGTGTGTCTCCAGGTGGCACACCATTCTTTTTGGCCTAGAGTGCCCGTCCCACCTTTTCCACTTGCTAAACTCTTCATCCTTGAAGTCCCACCTCCGATGGCCCTCCTCTGGGAATTCCCCCCCCCCATTCTTCCAGGCAGATTTATTTGATGTTACTTCTATGTGTTTCTGTGTTGATCTGGATGTCTGTTCCACGCTCGACTGTGAGCTTCCCTATAGCTTAGCCTTCTTTGTAGGCCTCGCCCCAAGCATGATGCTCAGAACCCCGTAGGCGCTCAATAATAATAAAGGACCTGATTGTATTTGATTGTTGCTATAACAGAAAATGAAATAGGCCCAGTTCCCACTCCAAGACAGGTGCCCAACGCTGAGGGGAACGTACTTGATCTCCGTCACATTGGACTAAAGCAGAAGTTATGGCTACACTGGTAGAAAGAGGTAGGTGGGCTTTAGGAGTAGAGAATTCAGTAGGAGGGACATTTTGCAGAAAGAGGCTTCCTCATGCAGTCATCATACATCCAGAGCCAGTGAACTGGGAGCCAGGATTCCCGATTTATGCCCCACGGGTGGGATGATGGGATGGGGTAGGTAAAATAATGCATACCCCTCCCCAACATGTCCACCTGTGAGTATGTTTCATTACATGGTAAAAGGGTCTTCACAGCTGTATTAAGGACCTTAAGATAGGGAGGGCAGGGGTGCCTGAGTGGCTCAGTCGTTAAGCATCTGCCTTCGGCTTAGGTCATAATCCCAGGGTCCTGGGATCGAGCCCCCCATCGGGCTCCCTGCTCAGCAGGAAGCCTGCTTCTCCCTCTCCCACTCCCCCTGCTTGTGTTCCCTCTCTTGCTGTCTCTCTGTCAAATAAATAAATAAAAATCTTTAAAAAAAAAAAAAAAAAAAGATAGGGAGGGTAGCCTGAATTTTCCCCAGTGCTTCCAGTCAGGAATGCAGCCCTACCAACACCTTGATTTTAGCCCAGTGAAACTGAGTTAGCCTTCAGACCATAGAACCACAAGCTGATAAATGGGCATCCTTTTAAGCCGCTAAATTGGTGGTAATTTGTTACGGCAGCGATAAAAGCTAATACGGGATGAAAACAGGTAATTCACGCTCTGGGGCAGGAAACCTAGCGGAGCCCTTGCCTCGAGGCACGGACAGACCACCCTTTTAAACCTGGAGCAACACTTTGCTATGTCATCTGTGCTTCTTGTGGCCATAGATAAAACATTGTATTTTCACACTTGGCACTTATTCACAGAAATCTTATCCTGGAAAAACAATTCAGCAGCCTGTTCAAAACATTCTTTCCTGCTGGGCCATGGAGTTCTTTGGTGCAATTCCAAGCGTGAGGATCACAGATATAATTTACTTAACCTTACTTTTTTTTTTTTCTTCTTGATCAAGCCCTGTGCTGTCTATTAAAAAAGGCGAGTAGGAAATCCCTTCTTTCCCTCTAGGATCGTGATGGTGTCTCTGCTCAAGCGAGCTGACTTGCAGTCAGGAAACAGGTGGAAATAAATGAACAGCTTCCCTCGGGGTGGGCCTGCTATGTGCTGGTCCTTCCCCAGGCTCCCCAGGGTGCTCTGGAGTGTGCCCCTATTCCTGGGCTTAGCTGTAGGGCAGCCGGGAGCGCCTGGAGCACTGAATTAAGAATTGGGGCACCTGGGTGGCTCAGTCGGTTGAGTGTCTGCCTTCAGCTCAGGTCATGATCCTGGAGTCCTGGGATCCAGCATTGTAGGGCTCCCTGCTTAGCAGGGAGTCTGCTTCTCCCTCTCCCTCGCCCCTCCCCCCACTCATTTTCTCCCTCTCTCAAATAAATAAATAAAATCTTAAAAAAAAAAACCCAAAAAGAATTGGGAAGCCTCAGGGCGCCTGCCTTGCTCAGTCGGTAGAGCATGCGACTCGATCTCGGAGTTGTGAGTTCGAGCCCCACGTTGGGTATAGAGATGACTTAAAAATAAAATCTTAAGAAAAAGAATCAGGAAGGCTCGCTTCTCCTGGCTGTGGTTCCCCCTGTTCCTGCCGTGGCCCCTACTCCCTGTAGGTCTTCAGTCGCAGTCTGTGAAATGAGGGGGTTGGCTGAGATCTCCCCAAAGGTTTAGAGAGTTGGTGGCTCTATAAAAATGCAGTTACTGAAGCAGCAGCTCTGGGAGAGTTGACTGCCTTTTGACAACACCTGGCCCTTGTTATTCCAGTTTTGCTGTCCTATTTCTCAGCTCCAGACACTGAATTCTGTCTGGCTTTCCCGCTCTCTGAGACCCTTCCTCCTGGATAACCCTGGCTGCACTTAATTTCTATGGGTAACTTTTTCTGTGTTGGTCAGAGGGTCTTATGCTCCCCCACCACCAAAGTCACTCACTCAGGAAAATTACCTAGTGAGAAGTCTTTTGCAGTTGGTCACTCCTGCCAGGCACCGTCTTCTGCCTTCCACTTAGGACTGCCAGGTATATCTGCACAGGCCGAGCCCGCAAGACTCCGCGAGTATCTTCCGATCCTGCCCTTCCCGGGCTTAGTCCATTAGGCCTAGGTTGTAGCACATAAAAATAATTTTCCAGGGGCAGCTGGGTGGCTCAGTTGGTTAAGTATCCGACTCTTGATTTCGGCTCAGGTCATGATCTCAGGGTCATGGGATTGAGCCCCGCGTCAGGCTCTGCGCTCAGTGGGGAGTCTGCTTGAGATTCTCTCTCTCAAATAAATCTTTAAGAAAAAATTAACTTTCCAGAAAAACTCTGTGTCACTAAATCAGAGGCCACACGGGGTGTCCGAAATGATGCCATTTAGTCTCCCACCAGCCTGCTTCACGCATTGACCTTACCTCCCAGAGGTGTGGCCTCGGACCCAGTCCAGTTTCCTAGAGGAAAGAGAGGATTAGAAAAGAAAAATTAACTTGCCTAGGGTCCATTCTGCAAGGCCTTGCCCAGATTTGAGGCAGACTCAGCCTTGTGTCTGGGCCCTGGTTGTGCCCCAAGACTCTGTAGAGGTTAAGAGCGTGGACTTTAGGTCTAGACGGGTCACCTGCTGTTGGTTCCAGGCAGGCCGCTTTACAGAGATGCTGGCAGGCATAGATTGCTCTGGTTCTGTTAAGTAGAGGGCCATTGAGAGAGCATCCACTGTAAAAAACAACAACAACAACACAAAACCAAAAAAACCTACCTGACAGGCTGTTGAAAGGATTAAATGACATAACGCAAGGACAGCGCTTAGCACATTGCCATCCAGGTAGTGAGCACGCAGCCCGTATTAGGGTAGTGAACTGCTTGGGACAGGGTAGGCTCATGGCTGTGGGATAAGTAAGTGAACGGGTCTCGATGACACCCGAGTTGAGGATCATCTAATACGAGGAAGTCCCTGTGTTTTGAGCTGTGCTGTTTCCGAGGCTGGGTGCCGAACCCCGGGAAGAATTACCAGGAGATCTCAGGAGGCCTTTGCCTGGACCATGACCCAAACACACCGGCCTGCCTTTGCACCGGGCCTAGCGTGGACTGCTTGCCTGGTTTCTTGCTTTCTGTGTTTCTGGTTCTAAGGCTTCAAGAAAAACACCACGGCACAGGGCTGGCTCAGATGATAGCTAAGATGACAGAGGACATGCAGCAAGAATTGTCTGGTCTGGAAAGACAAAGGCCGAAGTGAAGACACAGGTGGGAGGGCAGAACACTGGGGTTTGGCTTGTGGCTCTACCCATGACTAGTTGTGTGACTTTATTTCCACGAAAGGTATGCATGGGCACAGTTATAAGGATCGGGTAGCGACTCAGGCTTGTCACCACCACCCAAGAGTGTCCTGGCCCAGCTCTCTGCCCCTTCCCAACCATTTCCTGCTTCCCAGAAGCAACCACTTTTTTTTTTTTAAGATTTTATTTATTTTATTTTATTTTTTAAGATTTTATTTATTTATTTGACAGAGAAAGACACAGCAAGGGATGGAACACAAACAGGGGAAGTGGGAGAGGGAGAAGCAGGCTTCCCGCTGAGCAGGGAGCCCCATGCGGGGCTCAATCCCAGGACCCTGGGATCATGACCTGAGCCGAAGGCAGCCGCTTAACGACTGAGCCACCCAGATGCCCCAAGATTTTATTTATTTTAGAGAGAGAGAGAGCACGTAAGCAGAGTGAGGAGCAGAGGGAGAGGGACAAGAAGACTGCGTGCTGAGCGCAGAGCCTGATGTGGGGCTCGAGCCCACGATCCTAAGATCATGACCTGAGCCAAAATCAAGAGTCAGATGCTTAACCGACTGAGCAACGCAGGCGCCCCCAGAAGCAACCACTTTTAATTCTTGAAACTGCTTTTATCATAGCCGTTATTGTGAGCCTGTCATTCTGGAAGATGAAAGATGTAGCTTTCATTTACCTGTGAGCTTCTCCCATCCCTCCTCTTTGCCAGGACACTTTCCTTCCTCTGTGCCCCCAGGGTCTTAACTCTTTATTCACTGTCAACTTTATCATGACCCTGGAAATGCCAGGAGCAGCTGAGCCCTTAGTGTACTTGAGGTCTTTTCCTTTGCTGCCTATTTTTTTTTATTATTCCTGGAGTAATGAATTGTCTTTGTTCACTTGCTTGGGATTCTGTGTACTCATCACTGATTTACCCACAGCTCTCTGTTAATGTGCAAATCTCCATTTACTCAGAATAGGAGGGGTTGCCTCAGTTTCCCTATCCTAGGCCAAGTGAGAAGGTGAATGAGCAGGAGATTGGAGGGAAGTCAGGGATCACAAAGGTGTTGTTGGCCGGTGATAATGGTTACTGTCTGGAACTTTCTTCCCAAACGGTCAAACTGGAAAGTAATTATAGAGCACATGAAGGGATGCTTCCTTGTGCACAGTGGGGAGTGAGGCATGTCTAACTCAAGACGCAGGGTTGGCTAAACCTGTTTATAGGGCCATAAACGGGTTTGGATCAACTCATAGATGATTTAGCTCCTAGGTGACTTTTTATGAAGGAAAGCCTCAGCAATTAAGGGTGTCCTTATGTCATAGGGAAAGACCTGAAACTCACACACCCCTTTTGGAGGCCTTCTTGGAGGCAGAACTTGGGGCTGATTGGACGGGACTGATCCGATGGCACTAATGATATCTTTATGGGAAGAGGAAAAGTTTCCTCTAGTGCCTTAAGAAGACAGTAGCTATCATTGTGATGATGGTGATGGGGTGGTCATCTTCACAGCCTGCTCTGGGGACGGCTGAGAGCCCAGGGGTTTGGAAAATGTATTTATTTCCACTTATTCTTAGTGCCAGTTGAACATATTCAGAATGTCTTTTGTTATGGGAAATGGGACATAAAACCCAGTTGGTAGGAGAGGGCCCTAAGTGCTTGGGGTAGGTTCCCAACCACAGAGTGAGGGGCAGGCCTGGGTCATGACCGGCTCTGAGCCTTTGAGACCCTCCCAGCCTCTGCTTCCTCATTTGCAAATGGCTTTCCATAACAGTGCAGGCCCACAACTCCTCATCTGCAGTTCTGAGATCCTGAAGCTCTGGGAACCTAAAAGTTTAGTTCGGAGTGTGGTACCCGACCCGCACCTGTCTGTGCCTATTCATAGTCTTGGTTATGTGCCCATCTTAGAATGGAAGGTCATCGGATAGGCTGCAAAGATATTGATCGGAGGGTGTTGCCCAAATCCCAAAGTTCTAAATTCCCAGACATACCTGAGCCCAGGAGTTTGGGGTAAGGGACCGTGCCCCTGCACTACCTACTCCATTGTGGTGTTGGAAGAGGTTGAATGGGATACCTTATGTATAAAAGATGAAGCATTGTGCCAGGCACATAGTAGGTGCTTAGTCAACGTTAGCTGTTATTATCCGTTGGTTTTAGAATCCCACTTGTAAGACTAGGAACAATTAGATTAACCATCCAAGTCCAATTTCCTATGATCAGTCAAGGTCATATGAATGAGTTTGAACCAGAAAGAATGGAAATAGCAGCTTGGCGTGTAGTAGAAAGACCAAGAGACAGAACTGGGTGCAAATCCTGCCTCTGCTGTTTACCACCCCAGTGACCCTGAGCAAGTGCCTTAATTTCTTTGCCTCAGTTTCCCATCTGTATAATGGGGATAGTAATACCTGTCCCATGGGATGCCTGGGAAGCTCAGTCAGTTGAACGTCTGACTTGATTTCCGGCTCAGGTCATGATCTCGGGGTCGTGGATCAAGCCCTGTGTCAAGCTCTGTGCTCAGTGGGGAGTCCGCTTGAGATTCTCTCTCTCCCTCTCCCTCTGCCCCTCACCCCTGCACTCTCTCTCACTTGCTCTTTCTCTAAAATAAATAAATAAATCTTTAGAAATAATAATAATAATACCTACCTCATGGGGTTCCCCTGAGTATTCAGAGAAACCCAAGAAGCCAGTATATGGGAATGAATGGCTCCTGACAGATACGCTGAACTGGGCACATCAGCTATGTAGTTTTCTTGCTGAAAGTGCATAACCTCAGTCTAACCACGAGAAACATCAGACAAAGCCAATGAGGGGTGTTCTATAAAATAACTGACCAGTATTCTTCAAAAATGTCAAGGTCTTGAAAGACCAGGAAAGACTAAGGAGCTGTCACCGACTGGAGGAGACTAAGGAAATGTCCCAGGTGGGATCCCCGAGTGGATCCTGGAACAGAAAGACTACAATAGTGTGAAAACGGGAGAAATCCAGATTAATTCCATAGTATAGTTAATAGTATTGCACCGAGGTGAATTTCTTTGCTTTGATGATTTTCCTATGCTATATAAGATGTTAGTTAATATAAGGGGAAGCTGAGCAAAGATGTCCGGGAACTCTGTCCTATTTTTGCAATTCTTCCGAAAGTCTAAAATTAGCTCAAACTAAAATATTAAAAAAAAAAAAAAAAAAAGAATGGTATGTTGCTTGGCAAACCTTAGTCAGGGCTAAGTGAATGTGTGTTCCCTTGCTCCCCTGGGTCATCCTGGGGACAATGGAGCCCCCCCAACACACACAGAGGGACTGGACAGTGGTTTCTGAGGAGGGAAAGTATGACGGATCCAGGCTGCATCAGAGGAGGGAGACGTTCTGGTGGCCGAGCCGTAGCAGAGCCGACTGCCCCGGGGCTTCGGCGGAATCAGTGTGGGACCTCCGTGCTTGGTCTCGCAGACGTGCTCTGCCAGCTTCCATCTGGCGCTCTGGGCCCAAAAAGAGTAGTGAAGCACTCTGCAGTCAGATCATAGTTTGAGCTCCAGGGTTGTTACTTATTATCTCGTGGGGACCTTGGGAAAGTTACTCATCTGTGATAGGAGATAATGTCCTGGCATCTGGGCTCACTGGTTCGAGGAGCGGGTCCAGAACAGAAAGCCAGTGCTGGTGCTCTTTCCTCTCCCAGCGGAGCCTTCCCAGATGACACCAGCGGAAGTACCCTCTGCCCTCCAGGGTCCCTGTGGCACTCACTTTGTGCCCTGCCGAGGGCCCTTTCTGGGGATGGCCTTCGAAGGTCCATGGTTGGTGTGTCTTGTTTGCCCCATGACCTGGAGCTCCTGTAGGCCACCGGGCTTTGCACGTAGGAAAATGTACAACTGTGGTGAGTGGGTGAATGAGCAAGTGAGTGAGTGAGTGAGTGAACAAATGAGTGAGTGAACGAATGAATGAGTGAGTGAATGAATGAGTGAACGCGTGAGTGCATGAATGAATGAGTACGTGAGTGAATGAATGAGTGAGTGAATGAATGAGTGAATGAATGGACACCCCTCCCGCCTCTCTGAAGCAGGGCTATGTACCACACGTGATTACTGGCTCGCACAGCTGCCCCATGTCAGGCTGTTCTCCAGGATGACTTTAGAAGTGTTCAGACCAAACACACCCTTTTATTATGATTTTTCTCCCCCTTGCTTGGGTGCCAGTCACCTATCCAGAAAAAGCAATTAACTCCTTTTCTTACACTGTTTGAACATCTCAAGCCTTAAAGCTGTTCCCTAGTACTTCAGAATTCTCCAGGCCTCTCTCCTTGCTGCTGAGAACTTTTTGCCACAGGAAATCAGGCTCATTTTAAGGGCCAAACAGTCACTAAATATAGCCTCCCAGCACAGATATTTAAAGAGCTGTGTTGATGATGTTATGTCTGAACAGAGAAGAAGGGGAAGAAAATAATTTTTTTTTTTTCTGGAAAGAAGAACGAAGTTACACCAGTGTCTCTGTGGGTCTACGGGGAACAGAGCGACTATATGGTGTCAGCGACTTCATTATGGGATCACCAGGTGTTCGTCATCAGCTTGGGCCTCAGGATTTAGGGTTCTGGAGCCAGGCAGTCATTTTTTTTTTTTTTTTTGTAATTCCTTCTCATCTCTATTTAAAAATACCTCCTGCCCCGGAGAGTGACCTCAGACAAATGTGCACTCCCTGCCAAGCCCAGGAGAGCTGCCCTCCCACAGCCCCAGGACCAGAAGGGGGTGGAGGGGGAGCCCACCCTGCATTATCCTCTCCCAGACGCTGGCTGACGAGCAGCAGGTGTCAAAGGCAGAAGAAGGAGTGGGATGGGGCCCAAGGATCTTTGCCACCATGGCATGGAGGGGGTGGCTTTCATGGTGGTGGATGGCTTCCCACCAACTCCCTCTTCCGGCTTCCAC